ATTTCCTTATTCACTCTCCAAGGGTCAGTATGCCCTACTGCACGTCTCAAGAATGTCTTTTTATTTTTCTCCTTTTGAAAGTAAATTGTTGTATTTCTGTCTCTTCATATGACCCCTGGCCCTGTTGAATGCAGATGATTGGAAGTGCCTTCTCTTGACATTTCTTTTGCCATTGTACTTGTGTACTGATGAAGTGACCAAACTGAATGCAGGCTTTGTGGTAAAAGAAAGACAGACATTTCAGTGAAACAGCGATGTACTCTGTGTGATTTCTGATACTGATTTCACTGAAGGTTCATCCACAGAAAACTTCTGGCTTCTCCACTGGTCAGTACTCAGCTCAGCATCGATTTTAAACTATATTTGTAGATCATCATGGAAATAAATATTGCACTGTGTGAACATGATCAGTTTTACTAGGGTTTCTAGTAACAACTCAGTGATTGGTTACTTGTTTTAGCTTTATTGCTTTAGTGGAAACCCAGATTCTTATTAACCCTCCTCTTGTCATTATTTTCTATAAAATTCATTTATTGTCCAAGCAGAAATATTCATCCTCCACATTTATTGCTAATGGGGAATTCTTTTCAGTTTGTTTAATTTCAGGTGTGAATTATGAGGGAGAATTTCCCATTTATCTCCTTGGATTCAATGAAGGTTACAGATCTGAACTAGGTTTAGGAACAACCCTGTTGCTCATCTCAGAATATTCTCTTTCTGGGTTTCCACTTTTAACACATGCCTAATAGAACATTCAATGTAACCTCCCCCCAACGTCAAACAGCCAGCAATATCCAGAGGTGGCCCACCCTTGTCGCTTGGTTTGTTGTATCTCAGCCTCTCCCCAAGGAAACTGGAAACTGCACAGTTCATCTGGCAAGAAAAACTTCCACCCGGGGGAAGAATTCAGAGAGGATTTAATATGAAAAAGGCAAATTTCAAGCTGAAGAAATTATAGACAAAAACAGCAGGAATCTTCCCCCCCTTCAAGGGATGGAAAATTATACAAAGAAAGTTTATGAACCTTTTCCAACTCCACTAGTATTTCCTGCAACTTCACACAAATCGTATAAAAACACCTACTTTGTCTATCTACCAGGCAGGGACTGTCTGTAGGCCATCACAACAGAGGGAGCATTTCTGAGAGAAAAAGGCAAAGCATTTACATCATCACTAGGTTATTTTTTCCAATCAAATTGTTCTTATATTGATCCCCCAGAGTCACCATGTTCCACATCATCATAACCTGCATCTCCAGGAAGCAGGAACGGGGTTTCCCTGTCCCTCCCAGAGACAACTTCACTAGTTAGCGAGTGCAGACTCCCACCTGAAAATGCCAAGGGAGACACATACAGTCAGTGGATTCAGTCTATGGTGATGTGCAGCAGCAGAGCAAGGTGGAGTTTACAGCAGTGTTTCTCAAACTCATTTGATCACCCCCCTTCTTTGTGTCCATTATAGTTGACGCCTCCCACCCCAATCACACAGGTACATACACTGATTAAAAAAGATCAACATGCAGCTCTCACTAAATATTACAAACAGAAAGGCATTGAATAAAAAAGAGCCATTTAAGTATATAGCTCTCCGTCTGCCCAGCTCTGAAGGCAGCACTACCATCAGCAGCAGCAGAGACGTGAGAGTGGCAACACCATACTCTGCCATCCTCACGTCTGCATCGCTGCTGGTGGCAGCACTGCCTTCAAAGCTGGGTGCCTGGAAAGGAGAC